GGCTCAGGGTTGACTCAGCCTTCCATCCTTCCGAGGTGGGTAAAATGAGGACCCGGATTATTGTTGGGGGCAATATGCTGACTCTATAAACCGCTTGGAGAGTGCTGAAAGCCCTATGAAGCGGTATATAAGTCTAACTGCTATTGCTATTGCTATATAAAAAAGTAGCACTTAGCCTTGGAATAAAACAACCCAACCTTACTTGGATTTCCTTTCAGAAAGTATTATATTAAAGATAGATGGGAAATTGCTGTTATATGAACATTAAGATGAACATTAACAAAGGCTATTAGCATACAGTTAAATAGTAGCTTTGAAATATGTATCTATGTATATTTCCTGTAGGTATATACACACACTTTGTCTAACATCTAACATATGTTTTATAGTTTCAGAGATCAACACAAAATCACAAGGGTAATGAATACATTTCAGCACACATATACCCCACAAAATGGAGAAATAGAAATCCAATGTTGCTGAAAATGGGATTATATTTAGGGGGTATTTTAGTTTAATCAGAACAATGCTCCTTTGGTACAATAATAATGTTAATTCTTCTCCATATTTCTGGAATGGCACCTTTGTGTAATAGTTATGAAAGTATTATCAGTTCCTAGAAAATTTCAGTTGTAAATATTCAGTAAGTATTTTATTATTGTATTTAACTTATTTGATTATACCCTTTTGTCAGTCAAGGTACTTTGTTACTGAGCAAATAAACACTTGCTGTATTATTTGTTTTGTTCCCCAATAAGTTAGTTCTAATTGCATAAAAAAACGTGAACTATATCTTCAAAAAATTATTTAGGCATGTTCCAATTAAGCACAGCAGATGGCATTGTTGCCTTTTCTTTAGAAACATTAAAATTAAACTGAAGCTGTATTCCTAAACTCCATATTGCACAATACAATGTGCATCCATTGTCTCACTACCTCAATGATTAATGTATAAAATGTTCACAATTTCAAAGAATCCCAGAAAGTCAAAATCAAAGAATGAGCTACCTCTCCTGATATTGCTTACCATTAATTGTACATAAACCAAAATACTTATTGTTCCACAAACTATAATTTTAAAAAATCCAGCTTAAAAATGAATTGAGTCACACTTGTATTTTTCTCACCATCATATGAGAAATTTGTGTGTCAATCATGAAGAAAATAGACTCCTGCTATCCATTAGCAGTGCACTTATTATCTTCTGTTGTATTGAATAATAGCCATAGTAGCTAAAGGATTTTATTCAATTACCATCAAGGAATTCTGGATTCATAGTATTACCATATTGAAGGATATCATTCTCCCTTTGCTTCTGGCAAGATAATCAGTTTAAACTTTTCCAATAGGAACTACAAGCAATTAAAGCTGTATTAAATTAAAACTGATGGAAATGGTTAGATTTACAGAAGTGGGGGTAAGGGAGATACATACCTGCAAGGGATTCTTGTGCAATTAAATACATATTAATTTAGCTGATTATTTTAGGCAACTAATAAATTGGAAAAATCTGTGCTGGATTTAGTTCAACATATCCTAGCAAAAGTAGACTACCATGGAATAAAAAGTGCTTCTAGCTAAATAATTAGAGTTCGGCTTTCATTAATTTGCCAATCTGCATTAAAAGTTCCTAGCTATCAAGATCCCCCTAAGTTATAAAATAGGGGGGGGAGGCATTGTAAAGATCCTCAGGATTATCAAACGAGCTATGAATGTTAACCTTCAGCTACTCATGGATCACTGATCTAATTAACATAAAGCATAAAATAAGCAAAACAACTGCACAAAATCTGCACTTTAGTACCTTTTAGCAACATTTAGGACACTGATATCCTTCAGATACTTTGGACGACAATATGAGACTCCCTTAAGTTTGGCAGTGCTGGGATTAACTGATGAAACCTGTACTTGGGATACAGCAGGGCTAACTTCTTGTCTCTTAGGACCTTCATATAGGTAGTTTTCAGGTTATCATCAGTCATTCAATGTCTATTCAAATCTACAGTGGCACTGAATGAATGGTACTTATGACAGGTCCTCCTAATTCCAGCCAGTGCACTGTATCTCCAGTCATATGATCACTGTTACCTTTAAAGCAGAGATTAAATGATCATATTGTATGAAATCAGCAAAAACAAATTGCCTTTGAATTGCTGTATATATGACTTGGAAAGCAATTTAAAAGGAAAAGACAATTAAGGCACATTTACCACAGTAAGCATGCTATACTTACTTCTGTACGACAGTCTGTAAACTCAGCATCATCCCCAGTTCACTTTTCATCCTTTCTCTATTGGCCCGACATTCCGCCAAATAACGTAAAGCCTATTAGAAACAAATGGATCAAAGAATCAACCAAAGCAAAAGACATTCTCAGCATTTTCTTTCACACCACTCAAAAATGCATTGTAGTAATTCAAAAGATTGGGAAATAGGTTATTTGATGCTTACAACATAAAGCTACTGCTTATTTATTCATTCATCACATTTCTATATCACCCTTCTCACCTGTTAGCATATATGTGCTAGGTAAATATAAAAATAATGTTTGTCTCTCTATGAAAAAAATTAATAATGGGCAATTCTGATTTGTTCGATTTCAGATATATTTTTTTCAAATTTGGCTATTTCTACACTTGGGATTTTAATAATCATGTGGACATTCCACCTAATACATATGCAGTTAGAATATACAGTCTGTGTTTGGGAAACTGCATATTAAAAAATAACTGGGTTTTAATTTGCATATTAGTTCTGGAAGCACAAATTAGGTAAATGCAATGAAGAGTTAAATGAATACGAATTAGAAAGAGTGCAGGAAAGAGGGCAAGGATGGTGAGAGACTTGGAGATCCTGTGAAATTGGTTAAAAGTGCATAGGTCTTAGAATCCTAGGCTAAAGAAAAGAAAGCTAAGGGAAATGTGATAGCAGTCTTCCAATATTTGAAAGAATGTCACAGGGCAGAGTATATGAATTACTCTCCAGAGCAGTCAAGAGTAGCACAAGAACCAATGGGGGGAAGCTTAGTTGACTGAAAGCCATTCAGAAGTGGAACAGTCTGCTTCCTGAAGTTGTGGCTGCTCCATCATTGGAGGCTTTCAAAAAAGATTAGAAAAAAAGATTGTCTAGAAATGATATTTCCAACATTTTGATTAACATCAGCCTTGATTTCCCCAACCATAAGGTAAAGGTTCCCGTCGCACATATGTGCCAGTCGTTCCCGACTCTAGGGGGTGGTGCTCATCTCCATTTCAAGGTCAAAGAGCCAGGGCTATCCGAAGACGTCTCCGTGGTCATGTGGCCGGCATGACTAAATGCCAGAGGCACATGGAAGCGGTTACCTTCCCACCAAAGGTGGTCCTATTTTTCTACTTGTATTTTTCTACTTCCATTTTTACATGCTTTCAAACTGCTAGGTTGGCAGAAGCTGGAACAAGTAATGGGGGATCACTCCGTTACGCAGCACTAGGGATTCGAACCGCCAAACTGCCTACCTTTCTGATCGACAAGCTCAGTGTCTTAGCCGGAGCCACCCATCCCCAGCCATATCAATATACAAATTATAATGTTCCTTACAAAACCAACTGATGTATATGCAAAATATGTTAAAACCCCAAAAAATTACTTTTAAATTTATGCACTGTTTTTCCGCTCAGGCATTAAAAACCCTGCTTCAANGCTAAAACAGGGGTGGGCACGTAACACATCTGGCCTGTGGGCCATGAGTTTGACACCCCTGTCTGAGTGCCAACACTTTTAACAATATACTTTAATTGGGTGGGCAGTTCTCTCACCTCTTCTCCACTTTCACTTTTTACAACTTGCTGGGCTTTCATAACTTTGGTTGATGCTATTGCTGTGCCCAGTGCCTGCACAAAAATGGAAAAGGGAAACAATAAGAGCAGCAAGATAAAAAATAATAAAAAAATCTCTACCTGAATCTGAAAATAATGAAAGCAAACCATTGGGAACGCTTACCTCTGCTTTTAAATCTGATCTGATTCTGACAACACATCTTTGAATTGCCATTTGAAATGTAAAGCTGATGACCCCTTTAATTTTAAGTAAGGCTTCTTCGCACAGGTTTCTCCGTGACTGGAAATTAAAGAGATGCAGTTAATGGATCAATGCTAAGGAAAATAACATGAAGTTAACATCTAGCAGAACAACATTTTTAAACAAAAAGAAATAATTGTTTGTATTTGGCTGTAGGGAAATAAAAAGGTAACATTTCTGCTTACATTTTGAAGGCAAACTAGGGAGAAATCAACTGTGAATAATGATGGAAAGTGCTGAAAAGCAAAGCAGCTTTTCTTTGTTATGATCAGCTAAACAGTCTCTTGTGATTTAGTTCTGACTGACTGAAATCCTCGCTGATGAGCAGTTAGTTTTAAGTTGCTATTTATCAGACATCTTGTATCCATACTGACTGAATGCATCAAAGCAGCTGTTACATCCTTCAGCTTCCTTATCTGTGGCAGCTCATGAACATCACTGCACTACACAACTCAACTCTGATGTCAACTGACAATGTCTGCTTATAAAATCACAAGCTCATCTTATGCTTTAAGCAAATGACAGGGCCTCTTCCATGCAACAACACAACAGTAACCTATGCTAGTTTCATCAACTCTGGATTGCCCCAGAATGCTTTAATTCTTTTAGGGACTTCTGGGGAAGAAATGGCAAATTGAAGATGGCTCTGCTAAAAGAAGAGCTAATGGCTACAGTGGAAGGAAGAGCCAGCAAGTTGACCAGATCTTTGTGATTCCTTCCTTGTCCTTCAGATCACCCGCAAATGCTCCAGACCAGGGGTCTCCAATTTTGGCAACATTAAGACTTGTGGACTTCAACTCCCAGAACTCCTCAGCCGGCAACTCCACAAGTCTTAAAGTTGCCAAGGTTGGAGACCGCTGCTCCGGACAGTTGCTCTTCGCTAGCAGTTTAACAGTTATGGAAGATGAGAAAATAGCCATGTTGCTCAAACCACAGTTGGTACCTTCAAAAGGATACTAGTTTCACACATTTCCTTTTCTAATTACTTTCAGAAATTGTTTGTTAACTCTTTGGTTTGGCAAGGCTGAAATCAATGAATGAATTTTCTTCTATACTTATTGGGAAAAGTTTTAATTAGACGTTTAAGGGTTGTTTTTTTACAAGTGTGTAGAAGAAACAGCAAAAGTGTTAGTAGAATTTTAATTTCAGAAGGTTACAAACAGACTGATGAAACAGATGAATTGGAGTAAGATTTTGAAATTATTATAAAAACCTTTTCAGTGAGAAAATGCTTTTGTTTTGTATTTTTTTTAAAAAAAAGTAGCTAGGATGAGACTTTGACGGTTGGACACTAGAGGGCACCAGAAGAACTAAAGATAACAATTAAAGGAGAAGAACACATAAATTAGTGAATGCACTATTGTAAAATATTTTAACATTGGATATATTGAAGGATATTTTTGAACAATGGACCCAAAAGTTAATTTTAAAAGTATCTATGTGTTTAATAAATGTTATGAGAGAGGAACAAGTTTTCCCTGTCAAGATTGAGATTAATTTTAAAGTAGACTCAAAGTAGACTTAAAAATGACAGCCTACAAAAATGATAGGGAATATAGCAACAGCACTTATACGTATATACCACTTCATAGTGTTTATAGCCTCTCTAAGCAGTTTACAGAGTCAGCATATTGCCCCCAACAATTGTGGTCCTGGATAATTTTCCTACATTGGATTTACAAGAGTGTCTTGTTAAAACTTCCAAGAATTTTGTGAGAAGGGAAGAAGAAAATAATTTTTAAAAATCAAATTGTAGAACATTATTTGAAGGGATTAAAGATCAACTTTATAAAAGGGATTATAAAATTGATGTACTTGATCAAGGTTAAAAGAGATATGAAGTTATGTCTGGTTATGAGGAGACCTTAAGGACATTTAATTATCCAACTAAGGTAACATCATCTGTGAGAGTGAGTTTGGTCTTTACTACTTGAGTAATGAAATGTCTGCAAGGAAATAATCAAGTTCAGAGAGCACAAAGGACTCCACAGTATTTTCTTGGCTTTTAGAAACATTTAAGACACACCAATGGCCAAACACATAAACAACCAAGTTAATTATAATAACAAATTTAGGCGAACTAATTAGATCTGTTTTAATGAAAGAAGGAGAAAGAAAGCCAAAAGAGAAATAAATGTTATTCTGGAAGTGTAGGCCTGAGTCCATACTGGGTCTGAGCAAATACTTGATTTGAAGATTTAGTCAAATCACTGAATCCTCTTAGAAAGCTGAATCATTAAATATGTGAGATGCCTTTAAATCTATTAAAACAAATTGAATCCTTCCACAGAAATCTTTTTTGGAATCATTTGTAATTTAAATCAACCTGCCTCAACCATTTGGATCAATTCAGATCAGATTTCATCTCATTCATACTTCCCACATCGTGCATGCTGATTGTTACTCAGATTATCACCCCACCAGCTTTATTAGTGAGGATTCATCATCTGTAAATCTGCTTTTCTTACAGGCTAACTTGACCAAGATGTAAGGCAATGCAGCAAAAGATCAGGTTCAATAATTTACAATGATATAGGACTGAAACTGAAACATAAGGGGCACTGTAGATAACCTGTTCAAACAGTTTTATATTTTTCTGGGCAGCCATAAAAAGCTAGACATGGTCCTTGGATGTTTTCTACGGGGAAATGGAGGATAAATTTACAGAATCTATTTGACGTTCTATAAAAACTCCACTGAGATCTCATTTAATATCTACTATCCAGCAGTCAAAAGAAATATACAATGTATAACGACTGCAAACAAAGCCATTTTTTTTAAAAAAACTTACTATTTTTTTGGTAGACACAATTTTTTTTTTATTCTTAATAAAAAAAATTAAGGAGAATTTTAAATAAAAAAGTAGCAAGAAAAATAACGTTCCCTTTATTTGGTTGCANTTTTCCCGTGTAAGATTGAGATTGTCTTGGCAACGTTTCAACGAGGTCTCACTCGCCATCTTCAAGCTGGTGTTCGAATACAACAAGACCAACATACCTACACCCATGAAAATCTACGATACACATAGACACACACACACACACACACATACAAACAAGCTGTGAGATTTTAAAATTGTGAAGTCCTGCATCAGAATCCACAGGACTACATAAACACATTAGCAAGATTAATATATGCAGAAAATAAATATTTTAGTTTTTTATTTGTTAATATCACAAAAACATAGAAAGTAGATTTTTAATATTTATTAAGTATGATAACCATTTGTGAATTAATTTTTTTCTCTCAAAGACTAAACATGGCTACAATTACCCATTATGTGATAGGTATAATTATTTGTATTTGTAATATATATTGTATTTGTAATACATAATAAAGTAATTGGTATATTATTTGTATTTGTAATAAATAATAATGTAGGTGTTTTAATTTAATCACACAGCTTGGAGCATTTTTTAAATAAATAAAAAGCTAGAAACACAATAAGTATATTACATTCCCACAAATATTGGAGGGTTCTTATAAGTTTCACAGTTAATTCCATATATAATGGCGATCAACATTCCCTGAAAAACCACCACTATAAATCTTACTTTGAAGTATACGTACCAGCAGGGTATATTTTCAGTTCAGGTAAACCCAAAATATAGGTAGTCCTCAACTTACATGAGTTCATTTAGTGACTATTTGAAGTTACAATGGCACTGAAAAAAGTAACTTGTGATCCTTTTTCACACTTGACAAATGACTCATATTTATGATGGTTGCATTGTCCCAGTGCCATGTGGTCCTTTTTTGCGACCAACTGACAAGCAAAATCAATAGGGAATCAGATTCACTTAATGATGATACTAACTTAACTGCAGTGATTCACTTAACAACTGTGGCAAGAAAGATCATAAAATGGGGCAAAAGTCACTCAACTGTCTCGCTCAACAATAGAACTCACTTAACAAAACTCACTTAACCACTGTCTCATTCAGCAACAGAAATTTTAGGCTCAACTGTGGTCATAAGTTGACAACTATCTGCAGAGCTCCTTCTAAATGGGAAGTGACTGTCCCCATTTGAATAGGCCTTTAACCCTAACCCTAAAAACTTGATTCTTATCCAGAAGTTCCACACCAAAGCAAATTGAAGGCGTGCCAAGGTGAAGAATTTTAGGATCAGACATAAGAAATATTATATAAATTGCTGTTTATATAGTTGACATATGAGCAAATTTTGTTTAGTGCGACACAAATATCATAGAACTACTCAACAGTTTCTTACTATAACTAAATTCAAAGCCAATAACTTGCTCGCACAAACTTTAGAAAGAAACTTCATTTAAAAATTTGTAGATAATAAGATCTGATGAATCCCTACGATTCAAACCACAGAAACCCCACTATGGGAAATAGTGCCTTAAAGAAAACATGTGACTGAATTTGAAGTGCTGTTCTATGGATACTTAATTGGAAATCGAGCAATTTCACTAGCACTTCCAAGCACGCAATTACAGCCTTCAGATAAATGGCACTGCAAAGTCCAAACCTATGCATATTCATCCACCAGTAGTCTGCAACTTATTTCTAGCAATACATATTCCAGTTAGGACACTGGACCTTGCACCTTTTCTTTTGCTTTCATTCCTACAAGTGGTTAACGCCAACAACTGCCTGGCCTCCTGGCACTTTGTTGCACTGCAACTCTTGCACTGGGAGGGATCCTATAATATTAACGAAATCACTACACTGGTTTTAAGGGAGGTAAATAGGATTGCAACCTCACTCATTAAAAAAAAAGCTAATTACCCGATCTGTGTTTCCGTTTGAACGTTAACAAGATTGAGTTGAGCTCTAAGTCTAAACCCTTAACTAGCAGCCAACTGCCACTGGGTCTTGTGTGATTGCAAATCCTTAGTCTTGGCCAGGAGGATAATTTGGATCTCTAAAAGAACTCCAGGCATCGAAGAAGTAGCGGCGTTCATGATCTTCGTCTTGTGTTCTTTGCCGGCCACCTTCAATCCACTCCCACCTCAACTCCCCATCCCTTTCCTGCCCACCCGTCCGTCCCGTCCTCGTCCCCCACAAGCCCCATTCCCAGGTCCAGGGATCCCCATTACCGCCCTCACTTTCATTGGACGCAGAAGGGGAGGCGCTTTGGTACTCCCGCCCCACGGAGGAAGGACCACTCCAAATCACGTATCGGCTAATGCCGCTGCCGCCGCCTTCGCATACCCGGAGACCCGGGCAGAGGAGACGCTTAGAACTTCCGGGCGCCCGGCGAAGGTCAGCAGCTGAACTGGAATCGCCGACCCGCCAAGGCAGCATTCATCCAGCAAGGCGGGCGATCGCCGCTTTCCGGCACCGCTGCAATCCCTGAGACGCGATTGGCTGCAACCGAAGGCGTCTGCCCTCCATTCGTAGCTCGCCTTATTATGAGCCCCCCCTCCGATTGGCTTATTCCGGGTCAAGGATTCTGAGGCATTGTGGGTTAGAATGAAATCAACTTTTTAGGTGGCATTTTGAACAACTACAACTCCCAAGAAGCTCTGGTTCGGTTTCTGATGGTTGCAACTTACGCTTGCGCTTTGCAGGCGCAATGTGTAAACCGTGCGCCTTGGGACGGATCTCGCACATTTGCTTGCCTGGGGACTCCTGTAGTGAGGCTTATTCGAAGGCAAGAGTGTTCTCTCTCTCCTCTTCCTCTCCGTCTCTCTCTCCGTCTCTCTCTCTCTCTCTCTCTCTCTCTCTCTCTCTCTCTCTCT